CACGTCGGCCTCTGCCCAGCGGTCGGGGTCGGTCGCCGCCAGCTCGCCCATGAGCTGCCGATGCGAGGCGCGCGTCGCCTCGGCGGCCGCCCAGTCGCCCTCGCGGCGTTCAACCGCCGTGGCCCGGCGCGCGGCTGCTTCTCTCGCTCAGAGGCCGAAGCTGCCGGGCAGCGCCAGCTGCCGCGCCGCCCCCCGCGCGCGCCTGGGCCACTCCGCCAGCTTCACTATCTGCAGGGCCATTAGCCGCTGCACCCGCATCGCCTGGATCGCCACGCACTCTGCACCGGGCGCTGGCGCCCACGCAGTCGCTCCCGCACTGGCTGGGGCGCGCGCGCGCAGTGCGCAAACGCACGCATCCGCTCTTCGCGGTCTCGCGCTGCGTTCATGGCGCGCGCGCACGGGGAAGCCAACCTCGACCGAGCCGACGCAAGGCCCGCCTCTCACCAGCCGCCCCCGCGCACACGACGCCCCACCCCCCCTCGCCCGCATCGGTGGGCGCCCCTGCGGCGCAGAGCGCTGACAGCGGGGGGGGCGAGCGTCGCGGCGAACCGATTGCCCCCAGCCGCGCGCCGCGCGCGGTTCCCACGGGCGGAAGCAGTTCGCGGCGGCACCCCGCGACGACCGGGGCGCCCCCGGGCGCGGCCTGTAGCCCCCGCGATTATCCAAACACTTCCTGGACCCGCGAAAGTGGTCGACGGCTCCGCGGACCCCCCCCCCCAGCCGGCGAGGCCGAGGAGGGACAGCTGATCGAGGATGAGCGCCATGTCCTGCCTGCCGCCAGACCCGCGACGCCACGCCAATGAGCGCGCATCGATCGCGGTCTGCACACGACCCTCGAAGTCCCGCGCCAGGCCCGCGGCGACGCGGGCAGGCAGGCCCAGCACGCGGAAGAAGCGCGGGACGCAGAGGTTCATCCACTCGTCCTTGTGCTCGCGCGGGTCGGGGCAGCTCGGTTTGGATGCCCAGCTCCGCGCTCGGCTGCCCAAGACCCGCTCGTATCTCTTCAGGGCCCGCGCTTCCATGCGCCCAGCCCCTCGCCGACCGGGGCCCCGGCCGACCTGGGAGCTATGGGCCGCCCCCTCGACCGAAGGAACCGACGGCGCCAGCTCGAGGCGGACCTGCGAGAAGTAGTCGTTCAGGTGCATCAACCACTCGCCCGGGTAGCTCGCCCTGGGCCCCCCCGTGGGTCGAGCACGCGCCTGGGCCCCAGAGCCGAGGCACGGGGGGCCCCCGCGGCCGCGGAAGATGGTCTCGTCGCCAGGGCCGATCTGGCACGCCCAGACGAGCTCGTCCTCCAAGGCCGCGGATTGGTCCTCTCACAAGTTGGCGGGGTCGTCGAAGCCGCCGCTCTGGCCGATCTGCACCCGCACCACGTCGCGCTCCCACGTCTTCTCGGGCGGCGGCCCAGAGGGCCGAAGCTCGGGGAAGGCCCCTGGGCCATTGACCCTGACGGCCTGACCGAGGTCGCCGTGGCACTTCAATGATAAATTGACTGCCATGCGGGACGTGCGACGGTCGGCGAGACCGTGCCTGGCCACATCGAGGCGCTGCCACCCCGTGACCCGATCCGCGCCGACGACGAACCAGTCCAGCTCGGAGGCCTCCTTCCCTAGAGAGAACTGGCAAGTGCCCTCCCCCGAGTCGACGACGCAGTCCCTCACCTTGCCGAGCCAGTGCGCCGCGCGCTCGTGGAACCTGCCAGGCAAGAGGTTCCAATCGCCTGAAAACGATCCAGGGCTTCCCCGCGCGGGCGAGTAGCATGGGCGACTTGCCGTTCTCGCCCGCGCCGCCGTTGTCCAGGTACACGGAGCCGAGCAGGAAGCCGCCAGGCACCGCGCCGATGACGCGCGCGACCGCGGCCCTGACGTCGCCCACGTGGCAGCCCCCCTTGGCGCCTCCTTCCCCGGGGCGGCACATGCCGCGGAACGGGCGGGCTGCGACGCCCGCGACGCCGACGGGCGCCCCATGCCCTTCGCCCACGCAGCAACGACGCCCGGGGCGAGGGGCCGCGCCCCGTCCAACCCGACGGCGCCACCGCCCCCGCTCGATCGCGCGGCAGCTGCCGAGGCGGCGCCCCCGGAGGCAAGTGGCGCCCCCGAGGCGACGCCGAGACACCCATCTCCTGCTGCGGGTCGCCCTGCCCGCCCAGGAGCGCCGCGAGAGGGCCCCGGCCGCTGCCACCGAGGCCGGCCGATGGCGAAGCCAGGCTTGCCACCCGCGCCCCCCCCCCCTTCGCCCGAGCCCCGCGGCGCGGGGCCCCTGTGGAACCCCGGCCGCCTTGGCCCGCCCAAAGGCTGCTGGGCCGTTGGGCCGCGCAGCGCCTCCTTCCGCGCCAAGCCCTGCTGTTTCCTCCTCCTCCTCCTCGTCGCACTTCTCCCCCACGATGTCGTCGACGAGGGCGTCCAGCTCGGTTTCCTCGAGGTGCAGTTCCCGCTCGTCTCCGCCAGCTGCGCCTCGTTCCGCTGCAGATCCAGCGGCTGCGACTTCACGCGCCAGACATCGAAGTTCGCGAACGTGCGCCCCCCGCTGCTCGGAGAATTCTGGGCTGAGCACGCCCGAGGCCTGGTCGAGGGCTGCGAGGAAGGCGTTGGCGCGCTGAGCCTCGCTGAGGGTCTCGACTCCACGGGGGTCGCTCGCCGCTGCTGGGGATGCCGATGCCGTCGCTCCCACAGAGTCAATGCCTCCTCCCCGTGCTTCACCATCACGCTCCCGTTGGTGCTTGACCATGAGGTTGTCAATGAGGGCCTGGAGTTCCTTCTCGGTGGTCTGGCTCTGCTCGCGCTTGCCCTCGATGTCGACCTTTTTGGCCTGGAGCGCGCGTGATGCCGTTGATCGCCGCTCGAGCGTTTCCGTCGTGCTCTTATGGTTCTTCTGTTTGCGCTCTGGTTCGCTGGGCAAAACGGACGTGGGTCCCTCCTCAACCAGCTCCAATTCGAGCTGCTCAACCTCACGACGTTTGGCGGCAGCAACTTCTTCCGCACCTTCCACGCCATCGAGTTTCGCGATTTCGCTTCGTAGCCTTCAAGGCGACGCACGCACTCATATGCATCCTGCTGCTGAGCGTCTGCTGCATCACCTGCTCCGACGTCGCTGCCTATTGCGTGTCCTTCTGCTTCGACGATGATGGTGGTGACGGTGGCGAAGAGGCTGAGGATGAGGATGAGGACGAGGACGAGGATGATGATGATCATGAGGATGATGAGGATGCGAATGAGGATACTGATGTTGATGATGATGACGATGATGATGGTGATGATGATGATGATGATGATGATGTTGATGATGATGATGATGCTGATGTTGTCGATGATGCTGATGATGATGATGATGATGATGATGATGATGATGATGATGATGATGATGATGGTGATGATGATGATGATGATGAGGGGGAGGAGGAGCAGGAGGAAGAGGAGGAGGAACAGGAGGCGGAGGAGGAGCAGGATACTGATGCGAACGAAAACGATGAGGAGAAGGAAGAAGAAAAGGAGAGGAGGGGGACGAGGAGGAGGAGGCGGAGGAGGCGGAGGAGGAGAGGGGGGGAGGGGGAAGAGGAGGAGGGGCAGGAGAAGGAGGAGGGGAAGGAGGAGGAAGGTGAGGAGAAAGAGAAGGACCAGCAGCAGCAGCAGCAGGAGGAGGGGGAGGAGGAAGGGTGGGAGGAAAAGGAGGACGGGAGGAGGAGGAGAAGGAGGAGGAGGAGGAGACAGGGGAGGAGGAAAAGAAGGAGGAGGAGGAGGAGGAGGAGGAGGAGGAGGAGGAGGAGGAGGAGGTTGTGTGACTGAGTGACTATGGGCCCCAAGGGGCTCCTCTCCGCAGAAAACCACGCGCCTCCAATGCGCGCACGCGGCCGCGCGCCGCCCGCGGCGCCGCGCCGCCGACCCTCGCCAAAAGGTGGGGGGTCAGCAGCAAGCGGCAGGCCCACCAGAGGCCAGAGAGGCCGAAGAACGCCAAACCAGAGGCCAAAACAGCCAGCCAAAAACGACCCGCCTTGCAACCCGCCCCGGAGACCGCCGGTAGGCCCCGCAAGCCCTGGTAGTCCTTCATCTCCTCGAGGCGCGTCTGTTTCAGCGTCTGTTCGAAGCGCTGCTCCTCGGCGCCGTCGAACAGGCCGAAACTGCGCACGTCGTCGAGCAGGCCGAGCATCTGGCCCAACATGTCGCCATCATCGATGCTCCGTGGACAAGTTTCTCGTAATTCTCGCCGCTGGCGGCCCGCACATTGTCGATGGGGCGGGGAGGGGCGAGGCCCCCCGCGACGGCTGAGCTCGAAGCGCCCCCTCCGTTTTCGCACAGCCACCACTCCCATCCAAGAAGAAGTATATCAGAAAGCACCCTGTTTTGCCCCTCCCAGTTGTGCACGCCACCGAAAGTGCGATGAGTGAAAGAGGGGCAGGGCACTTCGCGGCTTTAGCCTGAAAGGGTCACTGCGAGCAACTGGCGGGGTCACAAGGGTCGGAGGAAGCAGAGGGGGACGAGGACGACAAGAGCGACACCGAGGAGCAGGAGGAACAGGAGAAACAGGAAGAAGAGGTGGGGTGATGAAAGGAAGGAGGAGGCGGGGGAGGCGGAGGACTAGCAGGAGGGAGAGGGGGAGAAGGAAAACGAGGGGGCGGAGGGAGACGAGGAGGAGGAGGAGGATTGATTGATTGAACACGTCGTCGATGCCATGGTGATAGTGGCAATTCTCGCACCCCTGTGGCTCACCTGCCGACGCAGGAGGGGTGAGCTGATGTAGTTCACCCGCTGATGCAGGAGCAGCTTTCGAGACGTGCCCGAAGGCGCCCCGATGCACCCCCCCAACCGCCCCAGCGGCCGCCCCTCGCGCGGCGCGCAGGGCACGGCGGAGGAGGGGAGGAAACCAAGCCAGCCGCCATGGTTCACCCGACAAGCGGGGGCGGCGCAGCGACGTGCCCGAAGGCGACGCTGCCGTCAAAACCGGCCAGACCGAGGAAGGGCCGCACCCACGCGGCGCGTGCAGGCCCGACCCAGGCCCCCTCAAGCCTCGCCCCCCCTGCCTTGGAAGCAGGAAATGACCAGCGGGTGGACGGTGTCCAGCACGGAGCTCTCGGGCTCGGCGAGCTCGGTGCCGTGCTTCACTTTGAACTCCTTCGCCCAGCAGTTGCTATTGTCAAGATCTGCTGTGGGCTCGGCCTTCTGCACATTCAAATGGTAGATGACCTGGTCACGGTCTGTCTTGGCGCCGACCGTCTGCATCATCATCTCTTCAAGGATCAGCTCGAGATATTCGATGGGCGCCTTGCCGCTCAGCTGCACATTCGCGATGCTGTTGGCATTGTCAAGATCTGTTTTGTGCGCGGCCAGATGCCCCTTCAACTTGTCGTAGACCGAGTCAATGTCTGTCTTGATGGCGACCGTCTGCAGCTTCAGGTCGCTTTGGACCTGCTCGAGAAGCTGCCCCAGGATGGAGCTGTTGATAATACCAAGATCTGCTTATGCGCGGCCACCCGCTCCTTCAACTCGCCGTGGACCGAGCCGGGCCTCTGCAACTTCAGGTCGGCGCGGACCTGCTCGAGAAACTGTTCCATGTTGGGGCGGCTGTCACTGTCAAGGTCGGCCTCGCGCACGGCCTTCTGCCCCACCAGCTCGCGGTAGACCTGGCCGAGGTCTGTCTTGGCGGCGGCCGTGAACATCTTCACCTCGTCAAGGATCTGCATGGGACCGCACTTGTGCACGATGTCGCTGGTCTTCTTATGGTGGCCCGCCCAGCGGCGGCCCCATGTTGGGACCGATGGGCACCAGCTTGCCCTCGTCGCGATTCTCCTGATTCTCTGGGGCGGTCTCGCAGTCCCCGACGAGGAAGCTCTGGCCCTTCTTCGCGTTCATTGTGGCCTCGGGCAATACCATGGGCACGATGACCTTCACATCTCCCACGTTCACGGCGGGGCCGTCGAAGACTACCAACTCCGCGTTGACACCGCTGCTCTCACCGCTCAATCATTTCAAGTAAGCAGTCATCACCTTGCCGAAGTCTTCGCAGGGGAGACGCCAGCGCACCAGCATCTGGACATTCATCTTCAGGCAGAAACATTTACCAAACCCAACAGGGCTACCCCGCCTTCAGCACGAGCACGCACTGCTCGAGAGGCAGGCTAGCGCAGCAGCATGGCGGCGCTTCGCTGTCAGCGCGAGGACGAGGGGCGGCGCGAGAGGCCCTGCGCCTTGAGCCAAAATGGCTCGAACCAAAAGGGCCACGGGGAGGGAGAGGAGGAGGGGGAGGAGGGGGAGGAGGAGGAGGAGGAGCATCACTGACCGAGAGGAAGGCAATGGTCTGGCCGGCCCGATCCCAGCCACTGCCTTAGCCCGCCCTCCCCCGGGCGGCAACAGGCTGGACGGTAAGGAACAACATGCAGCTGCACGACACATCACAAAAGGCCACTCAACTCTGGCACCTCGGCTGAGAGCACGAATTGTCTTACTCCGTCTAGCTCCTTCCCGCAACCTAGCTTCAACCAAGGAGTGGGCGAAGGCGGGTTTAATACAAACAGAAGGAGAAGCCCGAAAAAACCTGGAAACAAGCACGCATTCAGTCTACAACAACAAATTGGGAGAGAAGAGACTCGCGAGAGGATGCCCCCCCCCCCCAAAAAAAAAACAAAAAAAAAGCGTGGCAAGATAGAGCTCAGAGGTTCACGTCCCCACTCGTCGGAAAGCCAAGGCAATACTCCTCGAATACAGTCAGTAAGTACTGGGCAGGTCGAGTAATGCAACAAATCATCTCCTCCCACCGCATAACAACTAAATCCACATACCTGGATGGACTGCCTGTATCTCCTGGTTGTGTTCCACCCAATATAGAGCGCGTTGTTTAATCCGAACAAGCGCGAGGAGGACATCGCCCCGAGACACACCAGGGCCCCATGTGGCCAACCGGGGGAAAATAACATCCTGGGCCGTGGGAACATCACTCTGGCGATCACGGTTCACGAGTTCCATTACCCTAGCCTGAACTCTCCTCCTCGGGCACTCGGTTGTGGAAGAAGGCGGCATACACTTGCCACATCCTGAAGAAGAGCGATTCACTCGCTAACGCTGTGAACTTTCACATGATATTGACTTCGCCAGAAGCGGCAAATCCTGTAAGACAATTCTTCCACTCGTGAAACTTGGGCGAGTTGGTGGCAGCGCGCAGCAGACAGGCACGCGAGAATACCTCCAACCTCCTGGCTTCAACCCTATGGCCGAGATCGCGGAGTTGGTGGGGTGCTTCGGGAAGGAACAAAAACGCGGCGAACAAGTAAGCCGTTGTAGTGCATTTGTCTCAGCCATCTTCACAAACTTCGGTAGTGCCCACAATTGTGCTACATGGCTGACCACGGGCAGTGCGCACACGCTGTATGCCGCGATACAATGCGGGAGCCCCCCACCCAGCTGCGTCACCTGAAGGGTACGACGCGCGAGGGTATTAATCACCAGATTCCAAGACTCCTCCCGCCCACCAACACCCATGTACACTTCCAGGTATTTCCCATTGCAAGTAATCTTAAAGTTCTTAATAGTCGCACCCATTTACTTGAGATCGGGTACTACAGTTTCGCGAAACCGCTGTTCAGGAATAAGCACAACACCTTTTTGGCAAAAAAACAATACGAGCCTCGCCGCAGACGCACTCTTCGCTAGTACCCGAAAATGGCTGGCAAGCACTGGAGTACACCTTTGCATGCAATTCCAATATCGTCAGCGATGGCACCTATGGCAATGGGAAGCGCCGAGCACCTGCGTCGAATCCGAGCGATGACAGGGTTGATTCACCTACAGCCTTGCTCGACACCCCTCGTAATATGGATACATACAGGCTCACACCCATGGAAACTGGTGCCCATTCACATACTGGAGCATAATGCTCGGGCCGCGCGGCGCACGTGCCTGGGCAGGTTCATCTCCTTGAGCACCGCCCAGATAAACTTGCGCAGGGCACTGGGGAATGCGCATTTTCTGCGCATCAAAAAGCACAGCTCCAAACCTGGGGCAGGCGCCCATGACAGCCCACCTCAGAGACGCCGCGCCCAAGGAAGAAACGCTGTCAAGAAGCTGGCGACCTTCGACAAATCCTTTCTGGCACTCCTCTGCAGCGCCCTCCACAGTCTCGCTGACAGCGAAGCCTACACAGCTGGTGACAACCCCATTGTCCGAGATGCTCAGGGAGCGAGGCCGCGCACAGGCAGGCGTTCTGGCACTATTATCTCTGCCAGGGGAACCTTCTGGTAGAAAACGCAAGGTGCATCACTAAAGTCGGGTGGCAACTGTCCTACCTGCATCAGCCTGAGGTCTACCTGGCATAATACATGTTGACCACTTTCTCCCGCATACTTCCAGGCAGCAAATGGACGTCCCGCCAGGGCCGGGATGCGTATCTGTTTTTTCCCATTAAGAATATCCAGGGAAAACACTCTCAGGAACCACCAACGGATACAACGAGTTATCATTAGCACAATAGTGGTACTCACGAGTAGGAATAGGAACGATCTCAGAACAAATATCAGCTACACCTTCATCAGATGCAGTTGCGCCCTGAAAAACTCGGCCCCAATGCTCAGCGAGAATATCAGCGCATACTCGGCCGTCCGAATAAGGCTGGACGTCTACATCGGCAATCTGCCGCAGGCGAATCTTGCGACCGATCGACCGCCGAGCGAGCGAAAGGTCGCGGACTCGCTGGGTGGCAGCAGCAGGCCTCGTTTCAGCAATGTCTGCCTTGGACCTCTCCAGCTCGGCTTCTCGCTTGGAGCATGCATCTCTCATCAGACTTGCAAATTGAAGATCAAATCCAGCTCCATCACTACATCTACACAGCTCCAAATTGAAAAACCTGCCCAGGAACGGGCATCCGCGGACCGCCTTTTCTGTGCTATCCAACCGACCACCTCGAACTGAACGCGCCAGTTTCAAGCGGGAAGAGACACGCGTGCAATGTGCTCCTTGACGCGACCTGCAGCATAATAAAACACATATTTGACGCCCCGAGCTGATCGCCCAAGGTCTGACCTCACCCTTCGGGCACAAGGAGCTCCTGCACAAATTCTTGAAACGCTCTATGCTGGGCAACCGAGGCGGGGATACCAGCAAGCCCTGTCGGGGTTCCAAGGTTCCAGCTTCAGGAGTACAGGGGCGTGATCAGACGGTTTCGAAATGTCAGACGCAGGCCAAACGACACCAGCGTCGGGGCAGAGGTCGAGCAACTCGAGTGGGGAGGGAGCAATAAACTCGGTCAAGACGACCGTAGGACCACATGCCACCCCTCTGAAGCCTGCGCGCGTCACCCTCTTGCAGCACCTCCGCAAGGCACGGCAAGGGAGACTGTAGAAGTGATGCCAAACGACTGTTGGAGGGACCTCCCAGCCCCAAGGAAGCGCTCACTCTGGATTCACCCAACGCCAACAAGTTGATATCCCCGGAGAGGAAGGTGAAGCACTGACCAGGGTCCCCGAGGGCTCCCTTGATCTTGGCGAACACCCACTTGACGTCATTGATGCCCCACTCTGGATTCACATGGAGGTTGAGGAACTGGACGTTGCCTTTCTTTCCCGAAAGGCACAGTAAATTGATGCGACCAGGTACTGCAGCTCTGAATTCGACACAGCACCAGAGGCCCCGGAACTGCTTGGAGACGAGGAGAAGATTGCCGCCTGCAGATGGAGACGCACAGCAACTGCCAAAGACCTGATGGGACCCAACCTCAAGCTGAAGATGTACAATGCCCCCCTCCCCTCCATGAGACTCCTGAAGCCCGAAGACCTGGAACTTGCGAAGGAGAGAACGCACATGATGCAGTTCACGCCGGAAGCTAGCTTGGTTCGAATGGACGGAGCCCAAGACAGTCTGAATATTCAAACTGCAAATGCCGAGCGGACAATCAGGTATGTATGGGATGATGGTATCGCAACAAGAACAAGGCGAGCTGGGAGAGAAAGGAAAGCAAAAACGCGAGACTACAGGCATGCAGCAGTCAGGGCCCTCGTCGGCCTCAGTGCACGAGCTCGCATCACGCTGGTGATGCGATGGGCTATCCCTCTGCGCGAGACTACAGGCGGGCGTGCCTCTGCCACTCGAGCATACATCCCTCAGGGGATGCTCGGTCTCCCACAGCGGCTGAGGCAAAAGACTGACAGGCGCCTGCTGACGAAGGTGCCGCTCGGGCCGATCCGTTCAGCGTGATGGGCAGAGTTGAAGATCTGCAGGGTCTGCTCGGTTGAGCTCTTCCTAAACGGCCTGGAACTCCTCTGTGCTCTCAGAGCGCCCGGTGAGCTTGACGATAATGAATACATCCGCGGGCGTGACCACCATCATCTCCCCTTTGAAGCCGTCGGCGCCGAGCTTGCACTCCGACGTCCATGACTGGTGCTGCTTGAGCAGGTCGAGGATGGACTGGTAGATCCGACTGATAGATCTCTGGCGATCACGAACGTCAATCGGAAGGTCATGGCGTACCCGGAGCTGATGACTGGCTCCATTCCGAGGGTCCACCCACTGCAGCACGGCCGACGACAAGTTCTCGCAGAACTGCTTGGCAGGGGCGAGGGATGCGAAAACTATCTTATAGTTCTGTGCCACAGCATGCAGAATGACTTCCGCACCCTGAAGAAGATGAGGGTGCGCAGCTAGACCTTGATTGAAATGAGCCTGCCGAACCGTCTTATGAACTGGTCGAGGAAATGTGCCAACATCCCGCACCAATGAGTTCGTACCCACTTGTTGTCCACGCCCACGATCTTGACTGGTAACTGGTGTCCGCGACCCACTGGACACAGACGCACTGGAGCGTAACGAAGCCGCCAACGATGCTGCCTGGGCAACTCGTTGAAGCTGGGCTCCGAGCTGCTCAATCTGAGACTTGTGATTCCGTAACTCCCCCGTGGTGTGCTGAACCCGCGTGTCAAGCTGGATGAGCGCCGCTTGGTGCGAAGTGATCTGCAACTGAAGCTGGGTCGTCGACGCGTCGATCAATGCAGTGATGTTTGACTTGGTGGAGCCCATCATCGCGCGCAACTCATTCATGACATTGGGCGATATGGGAGCCTCGCTTCCCTGACTCGAACCATGCACCCTGATGTGGCCCCTTGGGCGACTTGAACTGCGATGGCTGCGGCCCGGAGAGGGGGACAGCACGCGCTTCCCACGTGATGACGATGACCTCCGAGATGCACTTCCCGACGAACTGTCTCGGTGATGATGATCGCGTTCCCCTGTCGCGACGAGATTCCTCCTTCATCTGCTTCCGAACTGCTTTGCAACCCATGGCTGCAACTGGAGGCTGGAAAAATGCGAGCGAACAGTGGTGGACGGTGTTCGTGAAACACTACCTCCACCCTGGGCAGGGCCACTGATCGGAGGAATCAATGCGGTCAACCTGGACCAACCTCAAGAGATGTTTCACTTGAGCCACAATGGCTACGGACGGGGAGGAGGAGGAGGAGGAGGAGGAGGAGGAGGAGGAGGAGGAGGAGGAGGAGGCAGAGGAGGCACAGGAGGGCGGCGCCGACGTGCGGAGAGCAAAGGCGCAAAGCGAGGCGGTTGGGCTCGTGGCGCAGGCGCCCAGTTCGGCGCTGCCGCGACCGGCACCGAGGAAGGCCAGGACGCGGGGCGACACCTCCGAAGGGGGGGGGGAGCACCAGGGGCTGGGCCAAAAAGCGGTTCAGACGCGAGCGAGGGCCTCGTCGGCGTCCTCCTCCTCCTCCTCCTCCTCCTCCTCCTCCTCCTCCTCCTCCTCCTCCTCCTCCCCTCCTCCTCCCTCCTCCTCCTCCTCCTCCTCCTCACCCTCCTCCTCCTCACCCTCCTCCTCCTCCTCCTCCTCCTCCTGCTCCTCCTCCTCCTCCCCCCTCCTGCTCACCATTCCTCGTCGTGCTCCTCCGCCACCCGCGCATCCTGCTCGTCGCCGTCCCCATCCAAGATGAGGACGAGTATGAGCAGGATGCTCGGGTGGCCACGTGGAGCAGGATGCGCAAAACGGCACTGAGCAGAATGGGTGGCGGGAGGAAGAGGATGAATCATCCCTTTCTCCCCGCCGCCCACTCTGCCCCTTCACCCTCGTTCTTTGTTCCTGCTCGCCCTCTGCCATGACAAACTACGGATCATGCTATCCTCTGCTCTCTGATGCAGTACGTGCTCCCCCCTCCCACCTCGTATCCTTTGCTTGTGCACGCACAAGGACCCGGCGTGATTCTGGGTGTGCCACCCCGTTCCCCTCCTTCCCCACCCTCCGCCGGCCTTGCTGCGCCTCCCGCTCCCGCTCCTGCCGCCGGTTGTCCTCCCTCCACTCCTGCTTCGTCTTCGTCTGGTTCCTCCTTCTGACTACCCGGACGCCCGGAAGACCGAAGAACTGAGCATTCCCAAAATCATGCAAAAACCATCGGAAATCCAAGTTTTATTTGTTTCGAATGCCTCTTGGGGGTCCTCTTTCGGTCGTTTTCGGGCGTCTGGTGGGTGTTTGGGGCCTCTGTGGGCTCTCGCGGGGCCGTCCGGCCGCCCTCCTGACTGATTGGCTTAGGCCCAGCACCAGACCACCCCTACCCAACCCGAAGACCCGAATTTCGGGTTGGGGGGGCACGGGCTTCAGATGTGCTTGTCAGTGCTCATGACACGGTGGGTGGCCACTCGAGGGGTCGAGGTCGTCCAGGACAGCCCACGCACAGCTACATGATCCAGCGCAGTGGGAAAGGATTGGCGATCGGATGTCAGATGTGGCGCGAACGCACCTGGCTCGTCACACAGTAGGCGCATCATAAGAAGAAAACGGACTCCCAGCAGGTGCCCCACAGATGTTTATTATGATCCCCCCGATGGCCCGAGGGGCCCACAGAAGCTCTTAGGCACCTTAGGACGGAACCCTCGGCGACGACGAATGTGCCCGAAGAGTTCTCATAGCTCGCTTTATCATCGTATGCCCCCACTGTGTTCCTTCATCTGTTCTCCGCCTTCTGTCCTCGCACGTGGGCTGCGGTCCTGGTCTCGCCCATCATCGACGGCGTTGAGCGTCGCAGTTGGGCGCCCACGCCTGACACGAGGGCTTCCGCCTAGCCACGATAAAGAGGCCTGCCAAGCTGGGCGCCTCCCTCCTACGTCCTCCCTCCTCGCCACTCCTACATGTGGTCCCACGTCTTGCTTCTGCTCCTGCTCCAGCCGCTGCGGCCGCTGCCTCTTGTCCGCTGCTGCGGCTGCGATCCTGGCTAGGAATGGCGCCCCTCTGGTCTCCAGAACCTGCCAGCTAAAGTGATCGTTCGGCTGCGAATAATCTCGCTTCCCCCGGGCACAGCGCGCCACACCGCTAGCCTGGCGCCATGCCCGTAAGAACCCTTTCCTGCAGTCCATTCCACCCTCCTTCCGCCGCACGCGAGCTCGACGCACTGCAACCTCTGCGGCCCCCAACCCCGCGAAGGCCACCACGGGATGGGGCCGCAGCCCAGCCAGCGCGAAGCAGCGTGCCACTACGGACGGGACCGCGCCCGCCGCCGCCGCCCGCCGCTGCCCAGCCCCGGTCCAGACTGCTCCACGCTGACGAAGGAAAGCTAAGTGAGGAGCGAAGGGGGCCTGCCTGGCCACGGCGAGCCCGGGTCACGAGCAGCCTCCCCGACCCAGCTCTGAGCAACGGCCCGGAAACTGGAGCCCCTCCCGAATCCAAAGAGGCCCCTCTTCCAGCGTCTTGCCTGCACCTCCCGTTGGTGTCAAAGGATCCCACCCCGAAATGGTGCCAGAGGGCCCTCCTAAGTCTGAAGGCGCTGGGCGGTTGACGCTGGTGGAGTGAGCTCGATCCTCCATACCGTTCGCCTTTCGGCACGCAGTGGGTCGGTAGAGTGCAAAGCGATGGCTGCCGGGGCTTCTTTCGGCGGCGAGCCCAGAGGGGGGGAAGTGAGAGGGGACAGGCCTTCTCAGATGGCGGCGGGGCTTCTCAGAAGCCCTCTGTGGCCGTCTCCGCGTTCGGAGGAGGCTTATAGAAAGCTTCTCAGACGGCTCGAGGGCTCCTGAAAAGCCCCACGGCCTTCTGAGAAGGCCTGCCCCCTCTCACTTCCCCCCTGGGCTCGCCGCCGATGTCTCTTCCCTCGGAAGTCAGGGCTCCACAGCATGTGCGGGGCACGAGCGAGGAAGCGGTTGCACGCGGCGTTCTTCTTCTCCTCCTCCTCCTCCTCCTCCTCCTCCTCGTCGTCCTCCTCCTCCTCCTCCTCCTCCTCCTCCTCCTCCTCCTCCTCCTTCTCCTCCTCCTCCTCCTCCTCCTCCTCCTCCTCCTCCTCCTCCAGCCGCCCTGGCGGCACAGGTCCTTCCACATTCCCTGCGCGGCCCCAGGGATGTGTTCTCTCTCTTACCCAGCGCTCCCTTACCCTTCCATATAGGCACTCCCCGTCGTGGCGCGCGCGCGGCCTGCCATGCATGCACCTCTCTCTTTTGTTGAGCAGAACGTCACGTCCCTCGTTCAGAGCGGCAGAGCTTTGGAGATCAGTGAAGCTTATCGGACGAAGGACATCGCATTTCTTACTGGAACTAGGCTACGCAATCGACATACAGATGGGCAGTGCACGACAGTCTTTGATCCACACGTGCACATTCTGAATTGGGGCCATGATCGAGGCCCGTTTGTCTCTTCGCACACTGGGATGCAGATGCGTTTTCGAAGCCGACGAGCTCGTCCTTGCCATATTGCTCAGATTCACTTCCCGCCCGCAGGCATACAAGGACGGCTTGGAGCAGTCGCATTTCGATCAGGCCGTTTTCAGTTGTTGCTGATTGTTGCATATGTTCCAGTACGGCCACATGTGGCCAAGAAGATGGTCACATACAAGATGATTTGTTGGATGGATCAGGTGTGTAGAATGCAGCCCAACCGATGTTCGATAGTGTTTGGTGGCGACATCAGAGACTATGTTGGATGGCCCTGTCCGAACGTGTATTTTGATGAGCACCATCCTGTTGGGCCGCTGCGACCCCAGCAGGAGCATGTTTGCATGACGCAGCTGAGAGTTGTCATGGAGAAGTTCAATATTTGCTTAGCTAACACGTTCATCGGCGGCGAGGGTACGTTTCATGGGCGAGCTGCAAGTTCCACGCATGGATTATTTGGGCGTGCCCCGAGATTGGTTTTCGATTATTGTGGATTCTTGTATTCTTAATCGGCGAGGGCGGCAATTCCAGATGGCGCCTGTGAAGTGCAAATGGGATCACTATCCACTTCAAGTTCGCGGGCGATATATTCCTGACTTCTCGCGAGGGGGCCGCACTACACGCATTCAGTGGAATATTGATGCACTTGTTCGTGGTGTTGTGGATGGATTGTGGCGCGAACGATTTCTCAGAGAGGGTGAAGATCATTGCTATTGTTATCAGAATTTCTTACGTTGGAAGCAGTATGAGGACTACGCCGTGCCCGACGAAGTTTGGAACTACATGATTGGCAGCAGAGTACATCAAGCATTGGCGAGCGAAGTCGACCTACCCCAAGGATGGAGAGAAGATAAAGGTGCGGTACACATGTTACATCCACACGTTTGTGCATTTCGGAGAGCCGCCCCACATGATGATTGTGCCAGCGAACTTGCTCGTGTCGAAGTGCCTCCTCAAGCTCGGGTCCGTGCCGAAGCCAGGCCCGCCACCCAAGGGAGGGCCCGAGCGCAAGATTCAGAATTCCCTGCAGAAAATGTTGAGGAGGGGCAAGCACAAGCGGTGGTAGCTGATGATGTTCTAGTCTCAGGCTCTGGAGGTTCTCAGATGGAGGGTGCTGGCGAGATTCAGGCTGTGGGCTCAGGTCATCACAATGTGAGTAGCAGCAGTAATAATCTTGCGGCGTCCGTGAACACTTTTGGAGCTGGGGGACCCAGACAGTGCGTTTCAGAGCGGGGGAGAGTTCAATTTTCGGGCTCCTGGACTCCCCCGCAGAGCATGCCCAAGCGTAAACCTAGGAAAGGCAAAGGTGCTGGTCGAGGCAGAGGTCAGACTTAAGTGCTGGGGCCTCAACTTGACTGAATGTGACGTTTCCCGCCTGCTTCCTCCTTCCTGTTCCCTCTCGCCTCCGTCCTCCTGTGGTGGTGTTTCCTCGTGTGTCTCTCCTTCCCTCTCCCCCCGCTCCTGTGCTGTGTGTGTGCGTGTGCGAGTAGAGACGCTTGCCTTCTCACTCTCGGGATCTGGTGCCGAGGTGCACCGTTCGGGATGTTTTCGTTAGGCTTCTCGACCCTAACGGTTTCTATGGTGTTCCCTGATTAGAAATCTAGTCGCGACGGGAGTGCCGACTTTCAAGTTTCGCGAGGGGACATGCCCTCATAATGCGCACAGCGGTCATGTGTAATCGGATAAGCATTGCAGACTCGACCAGATGCTGAGTACCACCACCACCACCTCCTCCTCCTCCTCCTCCTCCTCCTCCTCCTCCTCCTCCTCCTCTCCTCCTCCCTCCTCCTCCTCCTCCTCCTCCTCCTCCTCCTCCTCCTCCTCCTCCTCCTACGCACCGCAGCGGAGGGAAGGAGGCGAGAGAGAGCGAGGAGGAAGACGAGGGAGAGTGGGCAGCGTGGGAGCGTGCCCGGCAGGACGTCTGCGAGTTTTCCGAGGCACAAGCTGGAGCCTGCATCGCCCCTGCCTCCCAAGACCTCCTGGGCGCCCCGACGCCTCCCT